ATCGGTCACAATCACAAAATTTAAAAGTTACGTTACTTATTTTATGGTCACAAACATCAATTTATTGGTCACAAATTAATAATTTTTAGGCACAAATTAGTAATTTTTAGGTCACACAGCTTGTACTCGTCACAGTTTATCGAATTTATTGATCACAAACCGACCAACTTATTGGTCACAACAATCAAATCATTTGTGACCATCACTAAATTATTTGTGACCATCACTTCGCCACTGATTCCACCAGCAAAGCCACCATCGTGGACGCAACTTCACCACCATCGCGTGTAGCACGACCACACCCGCCACACACCACACATCCAACCATCACGCAGCAACACCGCAACAATTACACAGAAAACATCACAAACATCAAACAAAAACGCACCACCGCACGCAACAAGAAACATACCCAAACCACACGATTACCACCGCCGCACAAACACACACACCCAACCACCGCAAAACACCGGAATCACAGCCAACACCGGATCTGCAACGCCAGAACGGATCCATACTGAGACCACTGGATTCGCGCCGTTGGCAATCATATGAGAGGGATGGTGTGTAATTAGGGTTTGTGAAGTGACCTAATTTTACCATAAGTAGAAATCCGGCAAAATATATAGAAGTGAGAGAGATGGTGTGTGATTAGGGTTTGTGAAGTGAAATGCGGTGGAGACGGCTGACATACTGTAGATCCAGACAAGGAGAGAAGTGAAGAAGTGAAGAGCAACAGAGAGATAAGGGGGAACAACTGTCGGCGGCTGTGGCGAGAAGATGCAGCGTCGGAGCTCCTTTAGGCGGCGGGGAAGAAAGAAGACTGACGGAGAGAGGGAGAGTCCAGACGAAAGGAAGAGTGAAGACGAGAGAGGGAGCGTCAGTGGCGGTGGTGGACTGCAGCATCGACATCGGGGCCGGCGGTTTCTGTGAAAAACGGGAGAGAGAACGGGTAGGACGGGAGAAAATGGGAGAGTAGATGGAATGAATTTTAGGGTTGATTTGAGTTTTTTAATTGGAATGAAAAATATATAATTAATATTAAATTAAATATGAAAAACCTGATTTTTGAAAAGTTAAACTTGGGATGGAATTTATGAAAATAGAAATCTAAAATTAGGGTTGGGTGTAATTTCCTCTTTTAAAAATAGATGATCTCTTGTAGATTCTGTAGGGTTTGGTATTTGGTCCAGTTGTGATCCATGTTAATGGGCTCGTGGGGCTTCTTATGTACAGTAGGCAACACTACTAGCCTTTTCCATTTGGGCTTGACTTGTGATCAATCCCGGACTTATGGGCTTTAAGTCTAAATATTTATAGGAAAAATTCATAGTTTAATAATACAATTTCAAAAATTAACAAACTTGTAAAAATTATTTTTAAAAATAGATTCTAAATTTTTTTAATTTGTTCTCAGAATTTAGGAAGAGTCAAATGAAGTTCGCAAAATGTTACATAAGGTAATAATATACATGGTGTGATTTGTTATTTTAATTAAAAGTCTTTTTGTCTATTCATCTATCTTTGATGACACAATATTATAATTTTTTTCAGCTAAATTTAAACCATACCAATTTTACATATAGATCATACTTTCTATTTGTTTATTCATAATTGTGTTGGTGTCATTGATGGGGTCACGCTCCAGCCTCAGTACCTGTTGAAGATCAAAACTATTTATATGTGGCCTTCATTTTTTTGTTGCTAAACTTTTATTTCAAATTTTGCTGCCGATAAATTTTTAATTCTAAAAGGATATAATTTAAATACAAAGTGTTGGTCCCAAATTAGTAAAGATAATTGATTTTAATCAAAATCATTTGCAAGAATAAAATCGCAGAAAATAAAAACGCCAAGAACACAAACATTTTTCGCCTCTAAGGATCCATATGTTCATCTAATAGGCTTAATCACCAAGTTGAACATCTACAGAGTAGATTACACTCCAAATTCACTAGAATCAACCAAGAATATGTACAATTGTACGAAGAAATCTCTATATTACAACAACCTATATTCTTTACAATTTCTCAATTTGTACACCAAATACAACCAAGAACCCTTCACAAAGAAGTATAGAGATTGAATCACGAAGAAGAAGAAGAAGTACAGAGAACCATACAGAAAACCTTAGAAACACACAAAGAGAGGCAAAGTCACATTTATAAGGTGCGATTTATCAAGACCCGAAAGTCCAGTTCTAGTATACCAAATCCAAAGGCCCATTATCAATAATGACAACCCAATACTAATAAGAGGAAATTACATACATTCAGGTCTTTAAAAATAGCTTTTTAAAAATCAGGTTCAATATAAGAGGAAATTACATAAATTCAGGTATTTAAAAATAGCTTTTTAAAAATCAGGTTCAAACTTTATTTTTCAAAAATCAGGTAATATAAAAAAGCCATAACCCTAATTTTTCACTCCCCCGCTCCGCCTCCTCTCCCCTTCCCTCTCTCTGCGCCTCCTCTCTCCTCCACTTCCCTCTCTCTGTAAGTGAATCTCTGTTCCCTCCCCTCCACTCTCCCACTTCCTCTCCCCTCTCTCCGTCGTTGGTCCAAGACACAACTATAAGCTGAGCTCTGATGAGCTATGCCGAATGCAGATGCAGATGTTCCGAATCGCGGTCGTGCTTGGTTTTTTGTTGGTTGTTATGATTTGTGGTGGTTGATGGTGACGGTCGCGAAGGTGGTGGTGGTGCGGGCAATGGTTGAGTTGACTTTGGGTTGGTGGTTTGCAGATGGTGGCAGTTGCGACGGTGGTGATTTGAGTTTTTCACAGATCATCGGCGATCTGAAATTTTTATAGCAGTGTGCGACGATCTAGTGGCGGTGTATTTAGTGGTGTCGGGGTTTGTTGGTGCTGTTGCGGGTTTGTTGGTGCTGTTCAGCTGTTGCGTGCGACGATCTGGTGGAGGCGACGGTGAAGGCTACGGTTGCCATGAGGGAGGTTTCTCGGCCATAAACTCAGATTCTCGTCGCTGCTATGTGCGTGGATGGGGAGGTAGGGATTGGTTTGATCGTCGATTTGGATGTTTCGATTGGCCGATCAGGATGGATGGCGAGGCACGGTGGAACTGGTTATTTGTAATTGGTCAACTAAGCTGTTGATTTTGGGTGGTGGTGGTGGTGATGCATATTATTGTTTTTGTTTCGGGTGGTGATGAGGCGACGGTGGCGGCAACGGTGGTGTGTTTCTTTTGGAGACGCTGGTGCTGGATGTGGTTGTTCGTGGCGGCTTTGTTAGTGGTGGTGTTGGGGCGTTGGTGCTGTTGTGGTGGTGGCAGGGTGAGGGTAATAAATTTGAAAATGTGACTCATAAGATAAAATGTGATTTATAATTTTCTTAATCTGTGAACGATAAAATAAAATGTGACTTCGAAATAATCTGTAACTAGTTAATTTAATAACATGTGACCTACAATTATGTGTATGTGACTAATAAATTTGAAAATGTGACCGATAAGATAAAATGTGACCTATAATTTTTTTAATCTGTGACCGATAAAATAAAATGTGACTTCGAAATAATCTGTAACCAGCTAATTTGCTAATATGTGACCTATAATTATGTGTCTGTGAATATTAATTGTATAATTGTGACCTTATTAAATTTAATTAATAAATATTTTTAATTAATTACCTAAAACCTGAGTTTTGAATTTTGAAAATTGAAACCTGAAAATTGAGTTGTGTCTTTTTAACTCCTAAATTTTGAACTTTTCCCTACAAATAATAGTGAGGCAGCCCGAACGACATCAATTTTTTTATTTATACATAGTCGCATTTTTACAAAGAACAGAAACCATTTAAGTTGCTAAACCTTTGCATTTTGCTCTAAAGTAACAAGGGAAACAAAAAATGTATGAAAAGAACCGCTAACTGGAAGGAAAAAGATCATACCATCTAAATTAAATACATGCACATTATAGCTAGCACCAATTTCTATGCCTATAGTAAATGTAACTTGGTCTTAGCATATTTGATCACTTGCTCAAAATGGTGGGCAGTGTCCGGTGGAAGTTCCTCAATCCGCGGCCGCTCTGGCAGCATCCACCGCCCTTCGCTACTCCTCACCATCCCTTTGTGCTCATCCTGCCACCAAAATGGTGGCACACCGTAATCACTTTTCAAGAAGTCACAACTCTTGTTAACAAGTGCAATATCTCTTTTGTTGACCAAGCAAAATCGCCTGTCTTTTCCGTGGTACCCATCCACTAAATGCAAATGGGCCTCAAGATTATGAGAACATCGAATATCATTAGTGTTCTTTAGAAAAGGAGAGTGAGTGTGGTCCAGTGCCAATTCCACTCCAACATGTGCATAACTCCATGGAAATGATATGGCCTCCTCTATGTACCTTTGATATTGGAATTTCTCATTTGTAATAATTCCGGGCACTCTTGGGACCTTATCATGCGTATTAATGACTCTTAGAACCTTAATTCCAAGCTCGTCACACCTTTCTTTGAACTTCAAGTTTCCAACTCTAGGACCGGAAAACGAAAATACAGTGATGGGGATTTTCGTCGTCGTTATTCCGTCGTCTACAACGTTTAATTCAACCTCAGCAATGTCGTAGGCGCTTAACAGAGCTAAGGCTGCTCCAAGACTGTGGCCTGTTATTGTTATGCTCAAGTTTTCACCCGGGTACCTGTTGACGATAAACTTCAATATATAAATTTGTTCTATCTCTAACGGCACAAACTTTTAGATGAGATGATTTAGAGTTTAGAGAAGACAAAAGTTCTTGTGCAATATGAAACTTCAGTGTATGTGTCATGTGTTTAGTGAAATAAATCGATTTGTACATGAGAGGCCGTGATTATTATAAACTTTTAAAATACGTATTTCATCTATAATATTTTAAACTTTTAAATGGAGTGGTTTATAACAAACAAAAAATAAGTACATGACTAGGTGTGTGGGTTGAAGATAAGCTCGGGTAAATGAATTTGTTTCAAAGTTAATTTTTTAGACGAGATAGTTGAATACCGGTGTTTAATCCTCCTGATTTCTGCTAGAACTTGTTCACGAGCCGAATATGCGCAATATTTGCATGTATTTTCCTTGGTTGTGTACAGATCAAAGAACCCTGATTCAATCTTGATTGAAGGATCATTCCTAAAATGGGCAGGATGTAAAATGTCCTTAAGATCATGTATCCATTCCAAGTAGGTGACGGTGCCCCTCCACGCTATCACTATGTCCCGCCGCCCTAGTCGGCGGATCTCCTCCTCATCGGTGGCTACCGCCACGTACCCCATCCAGTTTGCATGCTGACTCCAAATACTGCTCAACCTGGATTTCTGAAAGAAATTTGGCAAGTTTATATTTGAAGTTGCATAGAGATATCTTGTTAAAGTGTAGCCCCTATCCGCCATGCCTAATCTTTCAAAGAAATGTGCCCCTTGGTACTTGCAAGTGCCACAGTATTTTGAGTCAGGATCAAAATCAAATGAATCATAACAGGCTTGAGCCATTTCACCATAACGAATAATTTCGTTACGTAAATGTGAATTCATGGGGTCTAATAGGCCTTCCCAGTTGTTGCAGCCATGAAGTTCTCTCCAGATTTCGTTAATAGGCCTCGTGTCCTCGCAACTGTGTTCTTCGTCAGTTTCTCGAATTTCAGGGTACAAACTTGGAATGGCTGAGCATTTGACGCTTGTTGATTGTTTTCGGAAATTTCTTTTGTTGGAGAATATAAGGTTTCTGGTTTTTTTGCAGTTCAATGTTATGAATAACTTTTGGGGAGTTTGAATTTTGTATGCTGCATTGCTTAAAGATGACTGCAAGGTAGCCATGGGAGAGAGTAGAGCGTTACAGAGAGAGAGAGAGAGAGTATTGTGTATGGAGTTATAGTGGCATATGCTTATGTTGGAATGATATAAATCAAATTGTGTTGTATGGCACTATGGCTGAGAATTGGTACCTAAATATCACTGTGTTGAGAAAGACAAACTACACACTACACACGTGAATGGTACATTTAACCCATGTTTGTGCCTCGTTTTTACCAAAACTCATTTTCAATCATATATTTTTTTATAAAATAATTTTACATGTAAATCCAAAATATTTTCCTACCTTTTAACCACACATTTTTCAAAAATCACTATTACGGGGCTCAAACTTAGTACCCCTTGATTGACAAATATTCAATGGCAGTTTCAGACTTTTTGCAGCCCCATTTGGTCAATAGATTCCGATAAAAATTGATAAGATGTGTGGTGAAAATTAATTATTAACTTAGATTTTAATTTTTATTAATATTTAATCTAAGTCAAACATGGCTTATTGTGGAGTCAACATATTAGTTGTAACCTTTTTTTTAATATAAATAGCATAAGAATAATAGTGGGCTGGAAATTGAAATATGAGAGCATTTTAAAGAGACTCTTTAAATATAAGATCCTCTCTATCAAGGACAGGCCTATTTGAGGACCAGTGAAGGCCACTGCCCCCACTCATTTTTCGAATTTCTCGATTTTTCTTCAGGTTTTCAAATTTTTTTAATTTTTTTGTCCAAGTTTTTTTAGGTTTCTAGATTTTTTTTCCAAGGTTTTTTTGTTTCACTCCCACTCCCACTCCCACTCCCACTGGATCTCTTTCTTGGGTCCGCCCCCGCTCTCTATATCAAAGAGTCAAAACAATTTTTTTTATAATTAAATGCATTTAAAGTATTTCAATTTTCAATGAAGAAAAATAATATAATAATTTGGAAGAAAATCGATGAAAATAAAATATAGAAAAAAAAAATAAAGATATAGAACATTTGTCTTACAATTTTTCAGTCTTCGTTTTCATAAGCACATAATCCTATAGACCAACTCCATAACTTATATAGACAAGAAATAAGATTAACGGTTTATGAACTTTTAAATGAAATAATTAAATTGTTAATAGAAACAAATAAAATAATTCAAGTTTCATCGTTATATATTTATCAAAAATAGTACACTTGAAGGAGTATGTGTAATTTTTTTTTTACGTATTAGCCCTACTTGTAATTCGATCCTGGATCCGTCCATGAACGTGTTGAATAGAATATTTAATTAAATATTAAGAATATAACTTACAGTATTCAATCTGAGTTTCATCTTCTACTTCTTTTCAGTTATTAGTTAGAGATGCACTATATGTACAGACAAAAAAATACCAGAATTTATACAGATACACACATAGGGGTGGATCCTATTTTTTTAAAAACAATATTTAACTCACATGGGGCCCACCCCATGTGAGTATTCTGTATAAATTCTGGTAAATGATTTTTCGTACATTCAGAAAATCTCTATTAGTTATTACTTTATGTTACTCATAAATTAAAATATTATAAATATCTCTCACCTTTTTTCCTCCATTATTAGCTTATTGTTTTATTCCAATTGATTTAGATGGGATGATATAGTCTCCATCAAACATGGACGAGAGCATCTTTTCAGTTGTGGATAACTTACCACAACTAGCATTCACCCGGGATTACAACATCTTTTCAGTAGTAAGGGATAAAATTCCACGTCAAATAAGGATGAAAACACAGATCAACTCATAAGGGATTGTACTTCTCTTCTGAATAAAATTCACGTTTGAAGATGGAATTTCAAATTTTAACATGGTATCAAAGTTCATTCAACTCTAACGAATAATTCGATTCGATAGTAATCTGCTCAAACGAGCCGTCATCTAAAAGGGGATGGGTATGATTATTATGTTGGAAGGGTGTATTAAGATAGAATTTCAAATTTTAACACTTGTTGTCAAATGACGGGAAATAAGGCATGACAAAAACGAGAGATTAAATTGAATGGTGGAGCCAGAAAAAGCAAAATCTTCGTACAAGTGGGCTACAAGTGTTTTTGACTGAAATTATTACTCACTTTATCTTAACCAAAGAGATTTAGCCACGCGTAGCAGATCGTGATTTGTTGCTTCAAGATTCCACTATGGTGACGAAGTTTCCAGTTTTAATAATTATTCTTTATCATGCATTTTGATCGATGGAGAAATGTATACAACAATACAAAACTTGTTGCTTTGTAACAGTGATCTGTCAAAAATGGTGGGACTCTCGTTTTTTGTGTGTGAAAAATGAAATTATTTGAATATGTAAAAAATGATTACTCTTGTTTGATAAGTGGGTTACACCAAGAAATTAATATTAAGCCCCAGTTTTATTCTGTTAAAATAAAATTTTTAGTAAATTTTAATAAAAGTTGATAAAATATGTTATTGAAAAGTTGATAAAAGTTGTGGAGAATGTTAAATATGTTCAAGAGCGGATGCGGAAGTTTAAAGCCTGGGCAGCACAATCGAACTTACAAAAAAAGTTGGGAAAAATTTTACAATAAAAAATTTACTTCTAAAAAAATCATATCCCATGTAATTTTGCATCCGATGAAATATGACTTTTTCGGATGTAAAATTTCAAAAAAATTTGAGGTCATATTCCATATAAAATTTCCTAATAAAATGATAAAAATTACATTGAAAATTTTGTATCGCAAAAATAATAAATGTTAATAAAATAATTGATTTTTTAAAAAGAAAATGCGAGTTAACCGCATTTCTTTAAGATTCACGTTTAACTCATCTTTAACTATTTTCGATATATGTTTGGACCATTCGATATGCCTATAATGTAATTCTCGAAATAAGTTTTGAGATGATATAAGCAATTTGTAAATTTGATTAGCGTACAATCGTCGGAGAATTTTTAAAATTAGCATATTATCGAAATTTTTGAAATACTAATTTTGAACGATCTACTTTGACAAGTCGTAACATTTGCTACGATTGATTTTTTCGTACGCCATTAAAGACGTAGAAAACTAGACTATGAACACTTCGAAATGGTATTAAGAATGCAATATTTCGATTTTGTTTCACATTTCATAATGACTTCGAAAATTGAAATAAAAACACAGAAAATTTAATCGTGAAAAAAAAGGGGGCAAAGTTGGGGGTTCACGTGACCCCCCAGACCACCCGCTGCATCCGCCCATGAATGTGTTGTTAAGAATAATTGTTGACTTTGCACAAATTTTATCAATTTTTTAGCTAAACCAAATGGGGATTAAATTCTCATTTCGATTGTTAATACCAAACACGCTACTTCAATGTTGAAAATCATGTGTTAAATAGAGCAAAGTTGGACGAATGACAATACGTAAGTCTAGTCAATATCATATACGCATGCTCAACAAAATGAGAGTTGAAATTCAATTAGCTACAAAGTGGTTTGAATAGAAGACTTAGAACAATTCGAAAACAAAATTTTAGCTATAAAAAAGTTGGTAAAATTGGTATTCGAAACAATATCAATATGGCAATAAATGTTATTAATTATGCAAGGAAATATTGTTTGAAATTATTAATTATGCAAGGAAATAATAGAAAATCTAAAATAGAATTAATGTTTGTTTGATAAAAGTTTGCTATAAAAAATTTATTACTTTTTCAATTGATCAAACTTTAATTTTAATCATATATTTCACGATAATCTCAACTTTTATTCAATTTTCAATCACACATTCATTAATTTTTATCAGAAACTTTGTCAAATAACTACTTAGTTATTTTTTAATAACTAATTACATATTTACCATAGAGACAATAAACGAACCGTATATAAGGAAGATATATCGCTTTTCATTTACTAAAATATCAATCAACTCAGAAGTTATCATAATAACGAATAAAATATCTTAGGGAAAATCACATATAGTCAATGTTAAATTGTGACTTTTATAAGTTTATGATAAGTTGATCTCTTTCTTTTACAAGTAAATAAATTTGTCCTCATATTACAATTGTGACCCCATTTCAAAGCAAGCTTGAGATGAAGACAATAGGGTTTTTGGAGCCTCTTCTAGAGCCATGTTGTCAATGGAAACATGATGGTCGAGTTGTTTTGTCTTCATATCACAATGTATTATCAAGCATTGATATTTTCAGTGTCAAGACGACTATAAAATGACATGATTTAATCGTTTTGTTGAAAGTGACCATAATTGAGGTGTTTACATAGACAGGCTATTTAAAATCGTGGCCACATATTATTTTAGATAATTCACCCGAAGATAACGGGGTTCTCAAGTCTATTGTAGTTAGAAAAAAGTTGATAAAATCGAGTTTCACATGGGATCATTGTTAAAGATAACGGGTTCTCGAGTCTATTGTAGAGCCATCTTGTTAAAGGAAACATAATTTTCGAATTGTTTTGTCTTTACTATACAATGAATTATCAAACATTGTGCTAAGGATGTGAATTTTATGTAGTCAATAGTTTTGTGGAAGTGATTATGATTGAGGTGTTTATATGTTGACAGAGATAAGATAGTTTGAAATTGTGGCCACATATTGTTTAAGATAATTCATCCCAACACTGGTCCCAACCCTACCCCAATTCCCTTGTGTAAAAGTCAAGTTTTTGGCGATATAATCCGCGAAACTGATCCAACCCAACAAATTGATTTGTCGGGTCGATTTGATCGGTTTCGAGGAAGTTGGATCAGGAACTGAATCGGGTCGATTTCTATCTTCTTCCAAGTTGGTTTTTAGGTTGGGATTTCACCCAATTCATCGATTTCATGGTTGGGTTGGGTCAAAATCTGATTCAAACCAATCCATGTCCAACCCTAGATTACAATTTCCCCACTCAAGGCTTTTATACAAAGAGAAAAGAGACATTTTATACTATGGCTGAAATAGGCACACAATTTTCTCAATTTAATTTTCTAAAATTCCTATTTATATATCCCAAAAATTGCTTACTACATAATCATATTCCAAAACAATTTCA